CCATGCCGGTCTCTTCCCTTCTCTGCCCGACTTCTTACACTTGGGGATCGAGAGCTCTTGCGCTCTGTGGAATACATCCTTAAAGACCTGCCAGCTCTGTTCTGTTCCCCTGTCCCTGAGGACCGTTTCCCAGGGAGTCCTTCTGACTATCTCCTTGAAGAGCTGGAAGTTTGCCCTCCTAAAATTTAGGGTCCTGACTATGCTCTTCGTTATTCCCATTTCCCTTATGTCCCAGGGCATGAGTTTGGGCTGACCAAGAGTTCCTTCATCTTGAAGATGCCTTTTTCCAGTCAGCTGTTATTTCTGAAACATAAACGTAATGTAATGCCAATATGAGCTGTTTCACTACAGATTCTTTAAGCAGAAATGTCCAAACACTGTGCTTTTCCAGCAGTACCAAACTGCCACTTCTGGTGCCAAAAGTGCTCCAACTGTCCCTTTCCCAGCTGCCAAACTTCTCAATGAAAAAACTTACTTCTATGATGCTTTTATGTTTTCAGTGTAAAAAATTATGGCATACGGAGAACTGAAAGTGTGGCACACTGTAGCATGGGATTGCACTAAATAGCACTAGAAGATGATGTAATGGTGGTTGAATAGTTAACCGGTTCACAGTTAACTTGACAAAAAATTCCACCATAAATTGAATGTGGAGCTGTCTTGGAGTTTCCAGTCTGCCATGCCAGAGTGCTGCAGAAACCAAGAACCATAGCGCTTGCTCAGTATAGTGCTTGCAAGACTTTGTTCTTCATTAATATTTGAAATCTTTGACTCTCAGAAGTAGAGTCACTTCGGTGACCTAGAAGTAGTATCCTGTGACTTGGAGCACCACAGAAGAATGAAGCTACATCAGTAATGCTTGTTTTATTTCAAGTAGGATGTCAGCAGTAATGTTAGCACTTGTTAGGCTAACTCTTTTGAGACATTTGGTGTGAATTTAACATAGGTTAATCATGTACATGAAGTTCAGACTCCACAGCATGTATTTTCAGCCTTTTTTTGCACATTGAGCACTTGTCAAAACTAAATCTTAGAAATCAATTAGTCAAATCACATTGCATTATGATCAAGGTGTTAAGAGATCAGACAGTTACGATTTGTCGTCTTGACTGGCATCAAGAAGATACTGGACTAGCTAGGGTGTAATCTTTAAATGCTGGAAGATTTGCAGGGACAAGCAGTGTGTCCGTTGAGGGCCACTAGCCACTCCAGCTTGTGTGCTGAAACACCAAGAGTGACAGACATCCTTGTCACTCCTTTTTACTCCACCATACACTTTGAGCCAATATTCCTTCCCTCATCAGGTACTTTGCAAGCCCGCAGGCCGTAATCATAGCCCAGCAGGCTTGGATAACAAGTTAAGACAACAAGGCAAAGCAGAAGGGAAAGGGCAGCAAGGCTATCAGCCTTGACTGTCTTGTGTCATGTTTTCAGTATTGTAAGCATTAGCGCATGCTTGTTAAGTAGTCCTTGAGTAATTTAAATAGACTTTTGAATGTGTTTATTTAATACTGAGAGGAATGGGAATGTACTGATACTTAGAGCTGTGTGTTCATGGCTCAGTCAGTCCCCATGTACTGAGTACAATATAGAAACTGTACAGCTCCGGTGTTGGGTTTTTTCTGTGTAGGTCAAAGCTGCAGTTAAGTCTTGTGCTGCAAAATAGTGTTTGGAATAGTGTAAGCGTGACCTTAGAAAAACTTTCAAGAGGACTTCTGAATTTTTAACAGTCAGGGTTTGATTGTATTAACAGATTTATTTTAGAACAAGTGTGGTTAAATGCTGCTGAGGTTGAAACTCCAAACTTGGGTCACCTGCAGCTCCAGTAGATTTTAAACTCTGCAAGTCATAAACTTCTGAAACTCTGTGGTTTCAGAAACGTCTCCTCGTTTGGTATTAAAGCCTGTAATCTCTCCTTGAAGTTTGTTCACTGTTACATAGCTAATTGTAGAACTGTTAAAATGGCAATAATTTGTATTAATTGTGTCAAAAATCAAACCGTTTTATATCTATAAAGAGATGATCAGAGGGAGGCTGATCTGCGCCGTGAACTGCTGAAAGAAGCTTGGATCTTACTCTGTGTATATTTTACATCTTTTCAGAGGTGTTTCCCTGTCACAGTGTGGTCTTGTACAAACAAATATGTCTTATCATTAGGAGGAACAGAGAATGAAGAAGAACATGTGTTTTGCAGACTGCATGGGAAAGAATCAGTACCAAAGAAACATTTAAATACCTGACCTGCTATTGGTAGTTTCACAGATGCACATCTGAGAAGTTCATGAAACGTTCTTGTTTACCATCTAATGGAGCTCATAAAAATTTATAGGGAGAATTACTAATAGTTTTATCAAGAAAATGTCATCAGAAGTCCTGTTTGATCCTATTTGATCCTGTTTGATCCTGTGACATCATTCTGCTTAGAAGTATAATGTGTGCCTACCTGGATTAAACATGCAAAGATTTACAGCTCTAATTCACAGAAACATGTGGGCTGAAAACCTTTAGGTTTGTTGCGACCGTTCTGATGTAATCACGTGTATCATGATCTGTCTCTGTAGGTAGATGTGTGGGCACGCTTCAAGTCTGCATTACTGTCATAAAATGTTTATGGTCTCTCAGGCCATGGTGGAGGCTGTTCTATCAGTTAGGGCCAGATCTTTAAATCCAGAGCATCTCTTGTATAAAATAGCTTCCATTCCATCTTTCCCCACCCAGTTATGGAGACTAAGGAGAAAGTATGCTTGGTTGAAAAATTACAAGCCATTTTATAGTAGCAATGGGAAACACACAAATACCTTAATAGTACTGTGAGTCTGAAGGTATGTGACATGCAGCAGTACCAAAACTGCTGGACATTAGTTCTAGTCTACAGCCTTTTTTTCCCTTTCTGGCACCTTTATGCCTGTGCTCTGTCCATTTGTTCTCTTCCCTAGTGCTGAGGTGCTCCATTCATTGTCTGTGGAGAAGTGCTAGAGGAGAGCAGAACTTGGGGCAGTGGGCCCAGTGGGGGTACCCGGGCCCTGAGCGGGCAAGTCACTTTGCTGCAGTGGGGGAAGAGGAGGAGTTGCATCATTACCTCATTATGGGGTGGACTCGTAAAGTCTCAAGTGTTAGGCTGCTAATGAGGTTAGGTCCACTGGGACGAGAAGGGGTAGTGAAAGGAGGGGGGGCCGTAGCTCACAGCTTCTCGTGCTTCGCTGAGACCATGTCCAAGTGGTCTCAGAAATTATTAGTATCGATACATCAGTGTATTTAGTATCAATATATTAGCCTCTATATTGATATGTTGGTGTGTGTATAATTGATATACGGACTATTATTAGCTTGAAGACACCAGGGCCAGCTGCAGACTTTTCAGTTGTCTCATCTGTGAAAGATATGCTGAGGCTTTTCCAATGCCAATCACAGTGGGGCAACATCCTAACATCAGATTACAACAACTGGTACAGATCAGAAAGAATTTGCAAGAAAATTCTTTCCTTCTGTTCTGCTAACAAAATCAATGGAGAAAATGTGTCAGTCTGTATTTCCCTGAGAAAAAAAATCCCTCCAAATTTAAGATGTGAGCCTTAAGAGCCAACATTCTGATCTGCTCTTGCAGTCAGTACAAAAATAATAGTACGTATTATGGAAAGCAGATGCCGTGCATGCTGAAGGATGCACTGGAAAAGGTGCATACTGGAGCAGATGGCTCATGTTGTTTTACCTTTTCCTTAGATGATGGAATAAAAATTATTGTTCTAGTTCATGCTGGCTGTGAATGTCCCACATGGAGCATTGTCCCCTTCAGGGTCCCGAGAACTTTATCCGAAGTAAAAATATATCCTTTGATAGCAGATTGAGTGACTGGCTCAGAATTTGTCATGGCTATAGACAGTGTGGTAATTTGTTAGCTTGTGGGTAATTTCTTGTTGCTTGGTGTGGTCCTGCAGCCAACAGCTGGGATGGCAGATTATTGCCATTTAAAAGAAAGAGAGATGCTTTTAAGAAACTTATAACTTAAGCTAATTGTTGATGTATTTGTGTATTGCAGAGCTAAACGGGAAAAGGAGCTGCAGCATTTAAAAAAACAGAAGGAAGATGAGGCTCTAAAACTGCAAATGCAACTTCAGAGGCAGAGGGCCATGAGACTCTTCCATGAACAACAGCTTGCCTTACTGGAAATAATCCATGCCAGTATGATTTATATTAAACTATATCAGAAGATTGAACGGTCTGGGTCTCCTTAAGAACAGTTTCCCCAAATGTATTTCCTAATCTTGCATGTCTCTTTGCACTGTAGTCTTACTGTCTCTTCTCCTGACCTAATTATCTGACAAAGAACTTGCTAATTCTACAAGGGCTCAGTCACTACTGATCAAGATCTGCTGCCTTCAAAATGGTGCCGGAGAAAGGGGAGCCCAGTTTTCTTGGGTTACAAAGCTCCATTGCAGCTGCAAGTCTCTGAAGCCCACAGCTAGCAGACCTTGGATGAAGAGGGGTTTTTAACTGACAGCACTGAAGCTTTGTTTGGTACTATGTAATTTGAGGATTAAAAATGCAGATTGTTGAAAGATCCCAACCCACTGCCTTATAACTAGATTTTTGTTACATTTGTAGGTCAGGTAAATAAGTACATGGAGGAAATGGAGGGGAAATCAGCAGTAACTATCCAGAGATTCTGGCGAGGGTATAGAGCAAGAAGAAATTTTCATCAACAAAGACAATCTCTTAAGGAGTATAAAGCAGCTGTCATCATTCAGAGAGCAGTAAGTGTATATAATGTGTTCTAACATTGGATAGGACTGAGTGAATTATTGTGATGTCTTGAAAAGCTCTGTTTATTCTCTTACTGTCGAGGTAGCCATAATTTATTAAAACATTGTTCAGAGGATGATAGTCTAGAGCCACAAGTTGCTTAGACAGGTTAAACCTTGCATGTGTTACAAAGTCTGATACAGTCTTGGAGCTAAAATGTAAGAGCTGCCATTTTGAAACCTAAGGCTGGGATTTCACCACACTACAGATGAGTCAGTAATTTATTATGAGTGTTCTCACTTGCTATTTAGCATTCATGCTGGCCATTGTACATTGTCTTTGCAGCTTCATAGCTAAATTTATGCTTTAACAGATGCAGTACTGAAGCATTTTTCTTTCACTGGTTGATTACAAACAAAGCGAGAAGACAAACTTCCTGTTTGTGACTGTCATATTCTCATATGTTCTTTACAAAGGCTTGTAAATTCTTGGAAAAGCGAAGAAGGAGGAGACTTCTCTCTCCTTGGAAAGATCCCAAGGGAATGACTGATGAGCAGAGACTGGCTTTGCAGCAGAAGGTGGATGACTACATCAAATTGCATCCGGTCTGTTTCTTAGTCATTTCATAATTCGCATTAATGATGCAACATAAAATACATTAGGGATGAAATATATTCAGCTTCATAAATTCTGATCAAGATAATCCATGTGAAGTATGCATATATTAACCCTGCTTGTCTGAGAGCAAGGTACTAGGATATCGGGGATTTTAACTGTTAATCTAATAAAAAGGGTCAAACTGTAATTGGAAAATTCATATACTTGGTGGTGGATCGTTTTGCAGAGATCTGCAGAGGAAGCAAAATTATTAAGATAACAATTAAGAACAGCATTTGCATTACTTGTTTAGATATTATTCTGCCCCCAAAAGATTTAAAATAACCAGCTCCTAATGGTAATAAACTGTTATTTTCCTCCAGGCCTCCCAAATGTCAGAAGAAAGGAGTAAAGAATTACATATGCACGCCCAGGAAAAGCTGGCACAGTTTCTGTGGAGGAGCAGACTGGATCAGAGAGCAGTGCAGCGGAGAGAGGCGTTACTGGCTCAAGTCAACACCGATGTGGAGCTGCTAATGAGTATGTGACTGCTCTGGTCATAGTTTTGATTACTGTTTGGATGAAACTAATTTAGAGACAAAATTAGAAGGAACAGTGGTAAAGCCTCATTTCAGAATTGATACATCTTTCTTCCTTTGCCATATGCCTTGTCTTGGGATTCAGGCTTTGTTAGATTAGGCTGTAGGTTAAGTATATACACCTGCTTGTCAAGGAGCAGCTTATTCTGCTGCTAGAAGTCTCTCTCTGATCACAAGAAAAGCAATGGCCCTGTGAAAGGCATTAAAATTAGTAAGAAGAGGATCTTGCACAACCTCTCGGCTCTACGTCTGTTTTGCTTTGTTCTGGTTTCTTGTGTTGTAAGCAAGCTGCTGGTTGAAGTGCTCTCACCTCTTCCAGATAAAGAGGGAAGTCTTTGAGCTATGAATTTTTAGTCATGTTTTCATTTTCTCTGACCTGGCTTTATTTGAAACGGCATTCACTATTGTGCTATCTTAATTCCAGACAAGTAGCCTGGAATGAAGGAACGAGAATAGCAAACTGCAGCCACCAGAGAGCACCCAAGCAGGACGAATTTCAGCAAGTTATTGAACTGCATTACTTAGTCTGTCACGTGCTATGTCACTGCAGCTCATCGCTCCCTGAAGAGGGAAATCGGCAACACGCTCCTACACTGTGCTGGGTCCCCCAGGCAGGGAATAGGCAGTGCTGCTGGGTCAGAGCGGTGGAAACACGATAGTGGTGTCACCCTGCGCCAAGAGCGCTGATCCAGCAGTAGCAACCAGGAGCTCCTCTTACTCTTAGGTCATAGTTTCACAAGAAGTCATTTTGGTGGATGTCACCACCGCACCTGCATGAAGTAGTCCTACTTTTCCCCCCTTCTTCTCCCTCCCCCATTATGTATTTATTTTTTTCACATTAGCCTTAATTTGGATCACTTCTCCAATCAGATTTACCATGCAGCCATAAAATTGTAATGCCAGCATGGGGAAAGCAGTGACTTAGGACAGTGCAAAGTGGGAGGGCAGTGCTCCTTCTTTTTTTGTTTGAAATACTTGTAAATCGCAAACAAAATACAGAATACTCTTCTCCTTGTTCTTACAGATGCTCCAGGGTTAGCAGAGGCCACAGAAAAAGATCTTGATGTCTTTATGAGTCGATCAATCCCTGTAGCTACCAGGGCAAGACAATCCCACAACACTATGCTGAAATACACTCGCTGGCCATGGTGGAAGAAGCTTGAAGATGAGTTTATGGAGGATGATGTCATACCTGACGATGCCCTAAATGCAGAACTGGGAACTCTGTTTATTGATGGAAGGAAATCCTTTTAGGTAACAGGCAGAAGAATTTCTTGTTCAGTCAGACTCATACCTTGCACTATGTGTTCACTTGGGTGTGTTTTTTAAGGAAGGAAAACACTTGAGTTGTAAGACAAAGCACTGAAAAAGACCAAAGCCTTATTTCAGTGCATTTTACTTATTAAGAATCTTTTCCTGTACATCAACAGTTAGATCCTACTGATAGTCTGTTGCAAATAGGATTTAGATACTGTAGTTGTAAATGAGTATATTTTGTAATTTATGTCACTTTAAAAGTAAGTTCATAACCTTTGGCTTTTCAGTTCTTATTCACACTTGGATGCATAAAGAATCATGCCATTGTAAAAGCTTTTATAGCAAGACTTTTTATCAGGTGATGTGCTTTGACATAAAGATGGGTTCAGAAGAAACCAAGACATCAATAAGAAGTTGGGCAAGGCCTAGGCAGGCTGGGTGCTTATGGCTGGGTAGAACAGCTACCATTCAGCACAAGCAGGCTTGGCCTGAGGAACCTCCACCAGCTTCTTGATAGCAGCAAAGGAAAAAGCAAGGGGAGGAAAAAACCGCCAATATTCCTGGATTACATGTGTTTTCATTTAAAAGCATGCAGTTCTTTCCACAGACAGTGCAGTGCATTGTAACATGGGCGCAATCCAAACTGTTACATGGGATTGTAGCCTCAGTGACCACCTGGACCATCGGCTCCATCTTCCTAAACCATGCAGATGCTGTTCAATCCAGAAAGGTCTCCAGCACAGGGCCTCTGCAGTCACTGTGACCCTGTACACAGTAAAAACCTACAGTCAATGGCAGCGGAGGCTGCTGGCTGATGTGCCCAGAAAGCAAGGAGAACTCAAGCTGCAGCTGGTGCCATAGGTGCCTATGCTGTTTTTCAGGTGACAGGCCCAGAGAGTCTTAAGAATCAGATCTTACCTTACTGCAGAGGAGGAAAAAGCACAGTGATTTCTGTCAGTTGTATGTGGGCAGCAGTACTAGTTCAGCATGTTTGTTTTCTATTCTCTCTAGAAGGTTTTCAGTTTTAATTTTAGTGGAGATGAATGGAAAACAAATAAATAGAAATAGTGGGCAGTAGCCCAAGCCCATTCAGATGCTGCTGATACACTGAAATTAATAACTGGACAGCTGCCAAGAGGAAGAGCTGTGCTCTAAGTTACTAATTTTTTTTAACACAAGCTGTGATTTGGAAGCCACTGAACTGGCTCTCAGTTCCTTTCTTGGAGAGTTAACTGGTGGAACAATGCATTAAGTATTCGCCAGGGCACTTGCATGTGTCTGTTACGTGTTGTTCTGCACAGCCCTGCTGTTAGTTTTAGGCTGTGCCCATAGCAAGACAGGTCCCCTACACCCTCCACCGACCGGAGGGGGGGGGCGGGGGGGCAGCCACCGAGCGCTCCAGGGATGGAGGTGACCCCCCAGCAGCTGCAGAGCCCTGGCACTGGAGAAGGCCTGGCATCTGGGGATGAACTGCAGCGAGGCAGCTGTTCCCTCCCCGTGTCCTCTGTGCACACCGTAGTCCTCTCTGCCATGCAGCCACTGACCCAAACTATTTTGAGACCGCAGCTTCTCCTGTTATGTTTATTCCCAATCACCCTCATTATAACAGCTCTCTAGCTCAGGGGGATGTTCTCAAAGGTGCTTTGCTTAATGTATTTGATGGAAAGAGATGAGCCCCCCTGGCCAGTGTTAAATACCAAGTGAATTATAGAGCCATCTTACCAAAAATCCATTTATTGTAATGGTAATGGGCTCTGCCACTCACTGCCATTGGAGTTGATAATGAACTCCCCCTTTGGAATACACAGTTTCCTGGATAATGGAGTTTTTTTAAGTGAACAGAGAGCCTGGTGGAAGGTGCAGTCTTGCTGGAGGAATTCAGTTGTTGGGTCATTTATTAGCAGCCCAAGTTCCCCCCACCCCACCACTGCCCTGATAAATAAAAATGCCTCCTCTTACTTGGTGCTTGTCACCAGGAGATCTCGGTCATCTCCATTTTACAGACCCAGGAAACCAAGGCCAGAGAGCCACGAGGGAACACGCCTACGGCCGTCTATAACCATGTAACCCGTTGCTTGCTGCCGCTGCTGTCCCCGGCACAAAGGAGCCAGTGCAACCTGCCGGGGCGGGGCTGGGAGATGCTCTTGGATGCCGGTTGCTCTGGCCAGCCTGGAGCGTGGGCCCAGCAAAAGAGACCCCCAGCTCCCCTGCTGCCTGCTTGGCTCACGGGTGGGAGGGAGCTGGCATAGCTTGGCTCATCCTCTTTTCAGGTCCTCTGCAGCACACACAGGGCACATTGCCGGCAATTTATTTCGCTACAGCTCCTTCTGGGATAAAATACTCCTGCCTGAGTAACGGGAACAGACGCGGACAGCTGAGCAGAAGCCACCTCCAGCCTGCTACCAGGTGAACAGTCCTGTCTGGGTTATACGACCACCTCTCCACCGTAGGAGAGGCCGTGAGCCGAGATGAGTCTGCTGTTGCTCCCACAGACCACAGCCATGCTGGGAAAGCTGGGAGCTGTTACTCAGGCATAAACGTGCCGCACCGGTGGTCCAGCCAGCCAGGAAAAGGGGCAGAATTTGGTCGTGCGCAGCAGGTCTGGGCTGTCCTGCTTTGGATAGCAAGCGGGCCTGCCCCGGCAGCCTGGAGACAGAGCCTGCTCGCAGCAGAGGCAGCGCGGGGCTGCCCTCCCTCACCGGCGGAGCGACAAAGCTGGGGGGCCACGCGGTGGCATGAGGAGGGGCTGAGGTGAAGCCACAGCTGCGAAGGCGGCGGCGCTCAGGTCGTTAAATATTGATGCCGTCTAAGCTGGCCTGTGGGGGCAATTTAGCTGAATTGCAGGTTTCTGTTGCTGTGATAAATTGGACCAATTTGTCATGTGGTTTTGTTTCTTCCCTCCCTTAAGTAATGCTATAAAGGAGCATCATTGCTACAGTTTCAGCAGCAGCAAACAATCTGGAAAACAAGATTTTCTGATGGATGTGGATAAAAAAGAAGGGACAGTGACTGTTCTGCCGAAGGTACCACCAGAGTCGTAGAGCAGGAAGAAGGCAGCAAAAGGAACAACAAAAAAGTAATCACTTGGCCCTCTCAGGGCCGGAGACAAGGCAGTGTCCTCTGCTGGCTCCTGCAATTGAGGAAAATTCCTGTTTATGCAGACATACTTTTTTTTTTTTTCAGCATTAGCTGTAACTGGACTCTGTGAACAACAGGATGCTCATCTCCAGCAGAGACACAGGCATGCGCGTGAGGCTGCACTGCTAAGTCCAAGGGCGTCTCCTGGCCTTCAGAGCAGCTGTAACAGGAGCTCTGAGCTGAGGACAGGAGATGACCCCGATGCCATTTCACCTCTCCATCCCAAGGCTTCCACTGCTGATTTCCATGGGAAGAGAAGCTGGTACAAACATCCACTCTCCACTGCAGAGTACCACGTCCATCAAGGACAAGCTGAAATGAAGGCTTTCTCCAAGTAGTGGAATCAGAACTGTTTGTAAACGAGCAGGCGTCAGAAAAGGAGGCAGCTCTTTGCAGGGGGAGCTGTGAAGATCACCGCAATTGGTCCCCAAGTTCTCCGTATCATCAGTCTTCAAAGCACAGTAGTGCTGGGTCATCCTCCAGCCATCCTTGCGTACAGTGAAAAACTCTTTAATAAAGAGATTGTTTACTAAATGAGCGCTACATGGGCCCGGCTTTACCAAGGGGAGCTAAAGGAGGGTGCCTTGCGGCCCCTCTCCCCTGCCTGCCCTGACAGCCAGGCTGGCTTCGCTCCGGCTGCCTTCTGAGGGCCAAAGGACAAAGTTGGCAGGTGAGGACCAAGGTCAGGACACCGCTGCTCTGGCAGTTTTTCCACGCCTGTGCCAGAGAACTCCTCTGTGACCCCGAGCGCATTCCGTCTCCTCTCTCCAGATGAGGCTTACTGAGGAGGCTTTCTATACGCGTTGTGGCTTGTTTTGAGACCCTTCAGCATGGGATGCTGTGTGAGCCCACTGCCACCAAAATCCCTTTCTGCTAAGGTGAAATGGGAGTTTGATGGGCCCCTGAAAGAAACAACGTGTATAGTCTGGTCTTGAATACACAGAAAGAGCTCAGGGTTGCCATGCCATTTATTTCTCTTCGAATTCAGCTTTTCACTGCAGAATTCAGTTCTCTGTTTAATTACATCCTCAGACAGGAACAATGTCTTTACCTATGCTTGATCACTTAATAAACCCCATGAAAGTGAGCAATTCTGATCAGGGAAACTTCATTTAATGCATCTCACCAGCCGAGAACCTGCCTGTTTGGAACAAGATGAACATACCAGACAGATAATAAGGCCCAGCTCAATCTAGCATTACATGATAGAGCTGGTCAACTGCGACACTTCATCCTAGAAACTACCAAAGCAACCGTTAAGTTGGCCAAGTCTGGAAGGGAAGAGGTGTTCAAGCTGGCACTGCCACCCCCAAAATGAATGGTGAATTAAAGTAAAATAGTTGCAGATGTAGGATACAACTCGGTTCTGTGCTCAGGAACAGGGAAAAACGGGGGCTGTGCCATTGCCTCGGCTCTGTCCTCCGTGTGGAGCGAGCCTGTCGGCCGGGTTCCAAGGCCTGTGGAGGCTGGCTGACCTGGGAAGAGCCACCACAGTCACCAGAGGCATGCTGGCACCAGGGCAGAATCATAGAATCGCAGAATTGTTAAGGTTGGAAAAGACCTCTCAGATCACCAAGTCCAACCGTCACCCCAACATCACCATGCCTGCTAAACCATATCCCCAAGTGCCACATCTACACGTTTTTTGAACCCCTCCAGGGACGGGGACTCAACCACCTCCCTGGGCAGCCTGTTCCAATGCCTGACC